GCGTTTTATCAACAAAAACGACTCCAGGAGACCATTCTTGGGTACATTTTTCCACCAAGAAAGGATGTAAATGACAAAAAGAAGAAAGGCATCAGACCCTTTAGGGCTGGGTGCGGTGGCTCATGCCTGTAATCCCAGCACTTTGGGAGGCTGAGGTGGGTGGATTACTTGAGGTTGGGCATTCAAGACCAGCCTGACCAACATGGTGAAACCTTGTCTCTACTAAAAATAGAAAAATTAGCCAGACATGGTGGTTCACACCTGTAATCCCAGCACTTTGGGAGGCTGAGGTGGGTGGATTACTTGAGGTTGGGCATTCAAGACCAGCCTGACCAACATGGCAAAACCTTGTCTCTACTAAAAATACAAAAATTAGCCAAGTTGGTGGTATGCGCCTGTAATCCCAGCTACTCAGGAGGCTGAGGCAGGAGAATCAGTTGAGCCTGGGAGGCAGAGGTTGCAGTGAGCTGAGATGGTGCCACTGCACTCCAGCCTGGGCTACAGAGCAAGACTCCATCTCAAAAAAACAATAAAACAAACCCTTTAGGCTGGGTGCGGTGGCGAATGCAGGTAATCCCGGTAACTATCTCCTACTGTTGTGAGGGTTAAAGGAGATGGTGCATGTAGAGCACTTGGCACATATGAAGTGCTCAAGAAAGAGCAGCTCCTGCAGCCTGGTGCAGTGGCCCACACCTGTAACCACAACGTGTTGGGAGGCTGAGGCAGAAGAATTACTTGAGGCTAAGAGTTCGAGACCAGCCTGGGCAACATAAAGAGATCCGCCGCCCCCCCGCCGCCCATCTCTATAAAAAATAATAAAAACTAGCTGAATGTGGTGGTACATACCTGTAGTTCCAGCTACTCAGGAGGCTGAGGTGGTAGGATCAACTTGAGCTCAGGAGTTGGAGGCTGCAGTGAGCTCCACGCCACTGCACGCCAGCCTGGGTGACAGAGCAAGGCCCTTTCTCTGGAATAAAAAAAAAGAGAGAGGCTGGGCGCAGCGTCTCACGCCTGTAATCCCAGCTACTTGGGAGGCTGAGGCAGGAGAATTACTTGAACCTGGGAGGTGGAAGTTGCAGTGAGCCAAGATCCTACCATCACACTCCAGTCTGGGCAACAAGAGCAAAACTCTGTCTCAAAAAAAAAAAAAAAAAGAGAGAGAGAGAGAGAGTAGCTGCCATTTTCAATGTTATTGATAAAGCAGGTGGGTGTTTCTGAAAAATGCACCAGACACTGTCTTGGACTGGAAGGTGCTGATGTGTTACTGAACCTCCAGACAAAGCTGGCGAACCTACCAGGGCGGGACTTTCTGACTTGAGAAGCTGTCCTATCTATGAGGATCCATGTTAGAGAATATTAAAGAGTAGGATTGGGGGCAGTAGCTTTCCTGTGGCAAGTACTCACTAGGTGCCAGATACTGGGCAAAGGAGTTTGCAGACATCTCTCATTTCATCCTCGCAATCCATGAGGCAGGTATGACTATTCTTCCCATTGTCCAGAGAGGGAAAACAAGTCACATGGAAGCAAGTCATGCAGCAGAGCTAGGATTGGAACGGAAGTGCCTGCATCCTCCAGCACCTGCATCCCAAGCCACTGTGCTATGCCTCCCATTGATGCTTTCCCATGTCTGCCATTTAGCTTTGCTCTGGTCAGTGACAAGTTGTACCAGCGGAAAGAGCCTGTCATCAGTTCTGTGCACACCAAGGTGAAGGGGATAGCAGAGGTGAAAGAGGAGATCGTGGAGAATGGAGTGAAGAAGTTGGTGCACAGTGTCTTTGACACTGCAGACTACACCTTCCCTTTGCAGGTAAGCACCTCGTAGCATTCTCCCAGGCTCATCACTGGTCACCGTTGCCAGGGCCTTGCTCCCTCCCCCTAGGATCTAGAGCCTCACTCCAGAAAAAACGTTGGCCCTATTTTAAAAGCTCTGTGAACATCTCAACTGAGAAAACCTAAAAATTGCAAACCTGGGTGAGATCCAGGAGATGATCCTTTGCTTTATCAAGTCCTACAGGGTTTCTCAAAATAGCCGCATGTCCTGGTACATTGAAAACAGGATTTGATTCAGTCACACTTGATGTATATGCAGCTTTTTAGAGGCACAGCCACCAAGCCAGCAAAGTCTGCCTAGATTTAGAAGGACAGAGAACTTTCTACCGAAGAGTACCAGCCCTTCTAGATTGTGTGGCGTTTTATCAACAAAAACGACTCCAGGAGACCATTCTTGGGTACATTTTTCCACCAAGAAAGGATGTAAATGACAAAAAGAAGAAAGGCATCAGTCACTGAGAGAAGGCGTGTGACTTCTAAATTTGCAAGCAGGGAAAATGAAAGCAGAATTGCCAAAAAGGAGAAATTAAAGTAGGGTTGAGGAGGCCAAAAAACAGAGAAGGGGGCGGGAGGGACGAAGGGGCAAGTTTGTGGCCTGGGGAGCTAAAATGCTTTGCAAAACCCTATAAAGCCCAAGTTGCTATCTATTTGTTTCTAACAGCCGGTCATTAAAATCCTGTGATTGCTCAGGTGGTGGGATGCCCTAGTGCCTTTCATTAAAGTCCAGGAAAATCTGAACAGCGACCCAGTGAAGCCTGCTTCCCTACCCTCGCCTCCTCAGGTCTCTTGAGTTTCAATTTAATGAGATTTTACTGTGTTAAAAAAAAAAAAAAAAAAACACGAAAAGGCTGCTTTTGAGACTGCAGTGGTAAATGACTCCTCAACCCATGCAAATGCTCCTTCACTCTCCCTCAGCTCAGCAGGGCTGCCCGTCCAGCTTTGATATTAAGCCCTCGGCATATTCCAAGTTGCCCACAGACCCTGATTTCTAGAAGCTTAGAAAAGTGTAGAGGTTCGCCCAGCAAGCTGGATTATTATAATTAAGTAGTTCTCTTTTCAAAGGCTTTGCATTTCTTTAGCCTCTCCTTCTCCACAGGGGAACTCTTTCTTCGTGATGACAAACTTTCTCAAAACAGAAGGCCAAGAGCAGCGGTTATGTCCCGAGGTAAGGAGGGGACCTGGAGTGGTGGGTCAGGTCGTAAGAGTTCCTGGGGGAGATGCACGTCAGAAGAAGCAGAAATTAGGACCCTGGGTGTATTTCAGCCCACAAATATTTACCTGCCTCTTTTCTGGGGTAGGGCTGGGCTGAGTGGAGGAAGGGAGAGAACACATGGCAGTGTCTCTCCATGGCCACCGGATCTTTGTCTGTCTGCCTCAGTCTCCGGTTCTAGCACTAGGGACCCGTGCAGACGTCAACCCTGCTCTTTCTATCTCTGGCTCTCTTCGCAGCTTATGACAATGGTGATTCTTGGCATTTGCACAACATTTCACATTTGATTTGAGGCTCACAATGACTTTAGGAGAAAAATGGCATTTTACAAACCAGAACACAGATTCAGAGAGGTTGTGACTTCCCCAGGGTCACACAGCTTGCTGCAGGCACAGCCAGGGTTAGGACCTGAGTGTCCTCACTCACAGCTTCTCTTACCATGGTTCACAGTGAACTGTCTGCAGGGCCAGTTTTGGAAAACCCTGGCACACAGCTCTCTTGCTCATTCACCCACTTCTTAGAGTCTCAGCCTCTCCATCAGGTGCATGGGCCCCCATAGTTCCCTACCACCAACCCAGACAATCTTTCCCAACTTGGCTCTGCCCTCTCCACAATGCTGCCTCTTTCTGGAAGAGCTTCTTCCCTATCAAATCATATTTGTTTTATTCTGGGCCAGGCACGGTGGCTCACACCTATAATCCCAGCACTTTGGGAGCCCAAGGCAGGAGGATCACTGGAGCCCAGGAGTTCAAGACCAGCCTGGGCAACATAGTGAGACCTTGTCTCTAAAAACAAAACAAAACAAAAACTGTATTTGTCCTATTCTGTACCTCACCATCCTGCTCTCTGCTCTTCAAGATGAAAACCAGCTATTCTTCTAAGTTTATCTATACCAGCGTGTTACTGCTAGGCATTACCGGTAACTCCCAACCTCCCAGCCTCCCCTCTCAGGTAACGTAACTGTGCTGTACCAAGGACCATTCCCAGCACTGACAATTGCAGCAGCGCTGGTGGTACCCAGCCAGATCCTCCACTGATGAGTAGGCCCAGCCCTGCCGGTGGGGTTTTGCTCGTGGGCCCACTCTGGCAACAAGGTCTAGCTTCCTGAGTGTCCAGGAACTCTGGGCAAAAGTGCTGTCTTAGAGTATAGTCTTTGCCATCATTTGTACCCAAACTCAGAACCAGCATAACATTCCCTTGGTGTCTATCTTGATAACACTCCCCCTAAAAGGAGAGCTTTCTTTCTTTGTTTTGTCCTCATCGCCCCTTAACTCTCCCTGCCATTCAGGTGAAATCTCTGACAGCCAGGCCAGCCAAGCCCTCCCTTCTGTCTCCCTTCCCAGCAGTGTTCTGTCTCCAATCCAGTTTGGGGGCCCTGGTTCTCTTTTGTCCCATCCTTTGGTCATCTCTACACCACACTCCACCCCCGTGTACACATAAAGACACTTTTGGAGTTATTGAGACTTGGAAGAAAGAGAGTTAGGATAGCCCAGAGATTAAGAGCCTGGGCTCAGAAGCTAGACTGCTAAAGGTTCAAAACTTAAAATTCTTAGCTCTGTGACCTCAGGCAGGTGACTCTTCACCTCTCTGTGCCAAGTTGTGTGCATCTAAAAAATGGGGTTGAGAACAAAACCTAGCTGTTCAGATCATTGAAACAAATGAGTGAATACCTGTGACATGCTTAAAACAAGGCATGGTACCTTATAAGCACTTAGTGAATGTCAGCTGTTATGATTCAAATGACATGTTACTCCTCAGATGGGATGTCACTCAGAGTGGCTGGAACCCAACAGGCTCCGTGGAGGCACTGCCAGCCCAGAGAGCACATGTGACTCTTTGGGATTTTAACTTGTGCTCCAGGCTGGTTTGGGCTGGTCTAATTGGACATTCACCTCCTCTCTGCCCATCAACACCCTTCTATCTCTGGTTGTCTCGGTAAATATGACCAAGTTCCAGTTACACACCAACCTGAATAGATATTTGCTCCAGTTACCTGTGGCTTCAAAACAAACTACCCTGATCATGGTGGGCTTAACACAAGCATTTTATTAACTTTCACAGTTCAGTGGTTGACTGAGTTCAGCTGGATGGTTCTTCTACTGGTGTCACTAGGGATCTCTCAAGGAGCTGCAGTCGGATGGCAGCTGGGGTTGGCATCCCTTGGAACTTCAATTGGCACCCAGGGATAGCTAGACATCTCTTCCTCTCTGGGAACCCCTAAGAGTTTCCCTCTCTTCAAGGTCTCTCTGCATTGTCTCTCCAGTAGGGTAGTCAAACTTTCCAATAGTGGCTCAGGTTCCTCAAAACAAAACAAAACAAAACAAAACAAAACAAAACAAAAAAATAGAAGCTTCCTGGCCTTCTTAAGGCTTAGGCCTGGAACTGGCAACAGCATTCTTTCTGCCGCTTCTATTGGTTTTGCAGTCACAGCACAGGTTCAGCTTCAGAAAGTAGAGGAAACACTCCACCTCTCAATGGGGAAAGTGACCAAGAATTTGTGGCCATCTTTAATCCATGCAACAATCACAAAAAAGAAGATTACAACAAAACTAATGCTGTTTTTTTTTTTTTTTTAATTTTAGAATTCCTTTTGGAGAGCAAAATAAAATTGATTTCTATTCTCTCCTGAGATTCATCTCCAGTTGATAATGAAAATGTAACTTTTCATGAGCCACAGTGAATGATCACACATTCATTCCTTCCATGACTATCAAGACCTACTATTTGCCAGGCACTTGGGCTACAAAGATATGACCTTTGCTCTGTATTCAAAGGGTTCATAGTCTAATCTGGGGAGTCACAAGGGGAGGAGACCAACGGCATGCCATGTGACTAAGGCAGCCTGGGAAATAAAGAGATCATGAGAGAATTTGAAAACTACAAGAAACATTCATTGAGCATGTACTATGTGCTAAACCCTTTCTTTTCATAACTCATTTAATCTTCACAACAACCATGCAAGACAAATCTGTTGGCTGGACACGGTGGCTCATGCCTGTAATCCCAGCACTTTGGGAGGCCGAGGCAGGCGGATCACGAGGTCAGGAGTTCAAGACCAGCCTGGCCAAGATGGTAAAACATCATCTCTACTAAAAATACAAAAATTAGCCAGACATGGTGGTGTGTGCCTGTAATCCCAGCTACTTGGGAGGCTGAGGCAGGAGAATTGCTTGAACCCAGGAGGTGGAGGTTACAGTGAGCCAAGATCACACCACTGCACTCTAACCTGGTCAACAAAGTGAAACTTTGCCAAAAAAAAAAAAAAAAGGCAAATCTGTTCACCCTGCTTTTACAGATGAGGAAACTGAGGCTCAGAGAAGTGAGTGAGTTGGCTGAGGTCTCTCAGCTAGAAAATGGTGCAGCTACTGCTGAACCAGGTATACCTGGGTCCAAGACCTAGGTCCTTGGCCTGAATCACTGTAGAAGCCACAAATTGCACAGATGACAAGGAGCAGAGGCTATTTTCACACCTATGTCATATTCTGGCTTCCTCAAGACTGGCCATGAAGCCTGCTCCCTAGAAAACAGGAAGAGAAATATGCATAAACCAGGGCAGCTCATTTCTCTCTTCCACGTTCTGTCCTTCAGCCCTGAGACCCAACTGGTCTCGTTTTCTTAGGCCAGGCGAGTGTCCTGGCCAATGTCTCTCAGTTCCATGTGTCCTGCTGAGTCTCTGCACCTGTTTGCCCTGCTTAGTCCTTTCAGCCACAGGGCCGCTTGGACCAAACCACCTGTCCTCCACCCCAGCCAGCATCCCTGAAAGTGATTCCTAGCTGCCCAGACCTCTGTTTTACCCATTTTTATTCATTTTTATTGGGATATAATTCACATACCATAAACCCCACTATTTTAAAGCGTACAATTCAGTGGTTTTTAGTATATTCACAGAGTTGTGCAACCATCACCACCATCTAATTCCAGAACATTTTCCTTTCTTTTCTTTTCTTTTTTTCCTTCCTTCCTTCCCTCCCTTCCCTCCTCCCTCCCTCCCTCCCTCCCTCCCTCCCTCCCTCCTTCCTTCCTTCCTTCCTTCCTTCCTTCTTTCCTTCCTTCCTTCCTTGTGGAGTTTTGCTCTTGTCACCCAGGCTGGAGTGCAGTGACACCATCTCAGCTCACTGCAACCTCCGCCTCCTGGGTTCAAGCGATTCTCCTGCCTCAGCCTCCCTAGTAGCTGGGATTACAGGCACACACCACCATGCCTGATAATTTTTGTATTTTTAGTAGAGATGGGGTTTCACCACATTGGGCAGGCTGGTCTCAGACTCCTGACCTCAGGTGATTGACCTCCTAAAGTGCTGGGATTACAGGCGTGATGAGCCATGGCGCCCAGCCTCCAGAACATTTTCATCACCCACAAAGGAAACCCCAAATCCATTAGCAATCACTCCCCATTCTCCCCTTCCCCTGGTCCCTGGCCACCACCAATCTGCTTTCTGTCTCTATAGATGCCTATTCTGGACATTTCCTATAAATAGAATCGTACATGGTGTGGCCTTTTGTGTCTGGCTTCTTTCACTCAGCATCATGTTCTCAAGGTCCATCCATGTTGTACACTGCGTCAACACTTCATCCTTCTTATGGCTAAATAAGATTCTGTGTATGAATGTACCACATTTTATTTGTCCATTCATCTGTCAGTGGACACTTGCGTGGTTTCCACTTTTTGGTAATTCTGAGTAGTGCTGCTCTAAGCATTCGTGTGCACATCCTGGTGGATATCGAATCTCTTCTCCGCGTCTTAGTAACACACGTCACTTACTCCCCACTCTCTCATCCTTCTATCTGCAGTATCCCACCCGCAGGACGCTCTGTTCCTCTGACCGGGGTTGTAAAAAGGGATGGATGGACCCACAGAGCAAAGGTACCTTCTGTTTCTTTTCCCGAGACCCTAGGGTTGGATGGTCAGGCATCTTGGTGACATTTGTGATGCCCAGTTCAGGTCTTCAGCCTCTGCTCTCAGCTGTCCTCTTCCACCATCACCAAGCCATAGGCGAGTCTGCCCATGCTTCGGCTCTGTCCCCAGCAGACCAGCTGCTGACTGTAAACATGACTCCAGTGTTCCAGTGAGAGAAGCTCCTAAAAATCTAGCAGGTTCAGGTTCTAATCGGTAGAAAAATCACATGGCCTATAGTATCATCTGAATATTCTAAACTTCCCCCTGAATCAAAGGTTAAGGACCATGAATTTATACCCCCAGGGAACCTGGCAGTAATACCCATATTAACCTGCAAATTTTTAATTTTATTTTAATTTTTACTTTTCAAAAATTTTTTGTACTGTTTTATTTTACTTTTGATTTTATTTATATCTAAGAACAGTGCTATTGTGATATCTGCAGAATTTCTTTATCTCATGTTTTAACTTAGAAAGGCACAGGGCACCGGGTGCAGAGGCTCGTGCCTGTAATACTAGCACTTTGGGAGGGTGAGGCAGATGGATGCTTGAGGTCAGGGGTTCGAGACTAGCCTGGAAAACATGGTGAAACCCCATCTCTACTAAAAATACAAAAATTAGCCAGGCATGGTGGCATGTGCTTATAATCCCAGCTACTTGGGAGGCTGAGACATGAGAATCACTTGAACCTGGAAGGTGGAGGTTGCCGTGAGCCAAGATCGTGCCACTGCACTACAGCATGGGTGACAAAGCTAGACTCCGTAAAAAAAAAAAAAAAAAAAAAAAGCACAGGGCAATTTTTTAAATACTGCAAAAACAAAAAAAAAATCAGTGGTTATGATGCAAATGCACACAAAAAGGCACATGGCCATTACTGCATTCTACTCCATACTATATGTGTATTCGAGTTGGTATAAAGATTATTTTAACATTGCTCACTATTTAATTAATTCTCCCTTGGAAACTGGTTAATCATCCTGACACCCCAGGAAGATGCGCCATGCTTATTTCATGGCTTGGCGCATCCTGGACAGGCTGTGTACCCCGTGAGGGACTTGTGCCCTTTGGAGAGGCCATGTTCTAGTCCATTTATACTAAGTGAGAGCATACACCTGTTCCGCTCCCCTCATGGGCACCTTTTCTTGTAAAGAAACAAAAGAGCCAGCAGAATCCACAGTCTTTCTGGTTCTGTCTGATCTCTATTATGTTTTGCTCGTTTGCCTTTCCTTGTGTTCGTTGTGGTTAGGACGGGCTTGATGGAAGCTGAAGCTGCGTGGGTTGGAAAGCCTGGTCAAAGCCTAGTCTTTTGCCTGGGTTGAGTTAATGATGTCCCTCCTGGAGAACTTTCTCTCCGCAGTTCTTTCACATCTGTGGTTCTACGATGCTTTGGCCCCTATAGGAATTCAGACCGGAAGGTGTGTAGTGTATCAAGGGAACCGGAAGACCTGTGAAGTCTCTGCCTGGTGCCCCATCGAGGCAGTGGGAGAGGCCCCCCGGTGAGTCACATGGGGAGACAGACACAGTGGCCCTCAGCAGCGACCAGATGAGGCCTTGCCGAGGCTGCTTGGGCCTTCCCCTCTCAGCACAGCCCTGCAAAATCCTGGGTCCTACTGGCTTGGGGACCCCTGCACTCTGGATGCACTGCTTGGCACAAACTAGTGTCTCTGGGAGGGCCCTGGTGGTTGGTAAACTATTGTAACAGTTCTGTACCAACTGGTAAATAGCTACTACCCTGAGCATCCTTGGGTGTCCCTGGCCCCCTTCCCTCCCAGATCTTCCAGGGTACCCCCAGACCCCCTCCTCTAGTGCCACAGCAGGATCCCTTCTGACTTGTCAGTGTCCATACTGAGTGATTAAGGATAGGAAGGAAGGAATGAGATGGAAGGGAAGGATGAAGCAAGGAAAGAGAAGAGGAAGGGGAGGAAAAAGGAGAAGAGGGAGGGTAAAAGAGGGGAGGGAAAGGAAGTTTTCTCAAATTAAATGCTCACAATGACATACAGATTTGGTGGTCCCTTGTATTGATGCTTCGCTTCAATACACAAAATCATGATGTTAAATCTCAGAAGCCACAAGGGCTGATGTATTTCAGCAGAGAAAGAAAGACCTGGATTCAATTCCTAGCTCTAACACTTTTTGCTGTGTGTCCTTGGGCAAGTGGCTTAACCTCTCTGAGTTTCAGTGTCCTCACCTGTAAAAGCAAAATAATAATTTCACCAACCTCATAGGGCTGTTGTAAGGACTAAATGAGATGATACTTGTACAGTTATTGTAAGGTAAGCCCCAAACCTGGCTTACACATACATACACACACACACACACACACACACACACACACACAAAATCTGCCCCTGAAAGTGTGGTGGTTCTAGACTAGCACTGTCCAATAGAACTTTATGCAGTGATGGAAATGTTCTATATCTGTGCTGTCCAATAGGGCAGCTGCTAGGTACATGTGGCTATTGAGTACATGAAGTGTGACTACTGAATTTTTGAAAGATGATAGATGATAGATAGATAAAAAATAGATAGAGTCTTGCTATGTTGCCCAGGCTGGTTTTGAACTCCTGGGCTCAAGCGATCCTCCTCCTGCCTTGGCCTCCCAAAGTTTTGGGATTACAGGTGTGAGCCATTGCTCCCAGCCTGAGTTTTTCATTTAATTTAAATTTAAATCGCCACACATGTCTAGTGGCTACCATATTGGACAGCGCAGTTCTAGACCAACATGATTCAGGATCATTCCCGCAGCATCGTGGAGCAAAGAGAAAACTGCCCCAAGCTGGCTCATAGAAGGCTCAGGTGAAGGTTTCCCAATGCCGGGACAGGGGGTGCGCTCAGCAGCATCACCCCTTATGGTTCTCAATCGCCAGTAGCTCCACTCAGGTTCATTTCTAGGTCAGGGGCATTTCTTTGTCACAGAAGGAATCACCCAGTTCTGGGAGATACAGCAGCCTCCACTCAGGTAGTCCTTGGTTCAAGACAAGTGGCCCTGGACTGACTGTGGTTTCAGTTCCAGCTCCGCCATCAACTCACTCATTAAATAAACTGCATCTCCAGTGTGCCTGCCGCTGGGCTGGATTTTGATGTGACCTGGGCAAGCAACTCCCTGAACTTCAGTTTCTCATATATTATATGAATTAGCTAAGATGGTTCATTTAATCATTCATTCAACACATCCATCACCATGTAGTAGGTGTTAGATATTTATCTCATACGTGACTATGCATAAGAGACTTTGCTAAGGTTTAGATAAAATACAAGTCCCAGATATGGAGCAAGTCCCAACCACTGTACATACCTGAATGTGTAATTATGTCAGTGTGAGAGGTGCCACAGTAAATGCCATTGGGTGTTGTATTAGTCCATTCTCACACAAAGAACTACCTAGCCAGGTGCGGTGGCTCACACCTGTAATCCCAGCACTTTGGGAGGTTAAGGCAGGCGGATCACTTGAGGTCAGGAGTTCGATACCAGCCTGGCCAACATGGTGAAACCCTGTCTCTACTAAAAAATACAGAAATTAGCCAGGTGTGGTGGCACACACCTGTAATCCCGGCTACTCGGGAGGCTGAGGCAGGAGAATCACTTGAACCCAGGAGGTGGAGGTTGCAGTGACCCAAGATGTGCCACTGCACTCCAGCCTGGGTGACAGAGTGAGACTCCATCTCAAAAAAAAAAAAAAAAAAAGACCTACCGTTTTTTTTCGGTAAGAGACCCAATACTTTATGAAAAAAAGAGGTTTAATTGACTCACAGTTCCACAGGCTTAACAGGAAGCCTCAGGAGACTCACAATCATGGCAGAAGGCGAAAGGGAAGCAAACACATCTTACCATGACGGAGCAGGAGGGGGGCCGCGGGGGATGTGCCGCGCACTTCAGATCAGATCTCGTGAGAGCCCACTCACTATCAGGAGAACAGCAAGGGGGAAGTCCGGCCCCATGATTCAGTCACTTCCCACCAGGCCCCTCCTCCGGCACATGGGGATTACAATTCGAGATGAGATTTGGGTGGGGACACAGAGAAAAGCCATATCAGATCTCAAGAAGGGAGAACTTCTTCTTGGAGGAGCTGGAGGGGCTTTGTGGAGAGTTTCAGAATGCTTTGCCCACTAGGTTTGCTGTATCCATTTCTCTTCACGCATCCCAAAGACCAAACCAAGAAACCAGAAACCTCTGGTCCCACTGGCCCATGGGCTCCCTCAGTCCCCACCGTCACTAATGGCCATTTTGCATGTCTCTCTCCCAGGCCTGCTCTCTTGAACAGTGCGGAAAACTTCACCGTGCTCATCAAAAACAATATCGACTTCCCCGGCCACAACTACACCACGTAAGTGCCCAGGCTGCCTCACTGTCTTAGTTATCTACTGCTGTGTAATAAATTATTCCAAACCTCAGAAGCCTGAAACAAGAAATGCCTATTGTCTCCCATGGTTTCTGTGGGTCAGGAATCTGGGAATGACTTTGCTGTGTGGTTCTCGCTCAAGGTCTGTCAGGTTGTAGCCAAGCTGTCAACCAGGGCTGCAGTCATTTCTAGGCTTGACTGGAGCTGGAGAACCCTTTTCCAAGCTCTCACACAGTTGCTGGTGGGAGGGCTCAGTTCCTCGCCCTAGGACCACTTGAGTACCCTTGGTATACGGCGGCTGGCTTCTCCCAGAGCAAGTGACCCAAGAGAGATAGAGCAAGCAACCGAGAGTATAACCGAGATGTAACCAAGAGTCTAACCAAGAAGGAACCAGGAGTATAACCAAGATGGAAGCCACAGTCTTTGGGAGCGACACTTCTGCCATATGCCATTGGTGACACAGATCAACCCTGGTCCAATGTGAGAGGCCACTGCCCAGGGGTCCCAGGAGGCAGGGATCGTTTGGGGCTTTCATGGAACCTCTCCACCACACTGGCTCACTCCTGGGAAAGAGACAGATCTGTTTTCACTCGAGATGTTTGTTTGTTTGCTTTTAATTATGCACAGGAGAAACATCTTGCCTGGTTTAAACATCACTTGTACCTTCCACAAGACTCAGAATCCACAGTGTCCCATTTTCCGACTAGGAGACATCTTCCGAGAAACAGGCGATAATTTTTCAGATGTGGCAATTCAGGTTGGTGGTGCTTTGTACACTGGGATGTGGGGCTATGTGTCTGGGGATGGAGGATGTCAAACGGCCAAGAGGCCGGGCCACTGGGTCTTCATAATGTGGCTCACATTTACTGAGCATTTAGTAAATTCACCCTCTGTGCTAAGGGCTTTACCTACACTACCTCATCAAATCCCAAAACAATCTTATGAGTGAGAGCTACTTGGTGTGGCTCTCACTTTCCTGTGGCTGACATAACAAGTTAGCAAAGCTTAGTGGCTTAAAACAACACATATTTGCTTATGTTGCCAGAGATCAGAAGTTGGGGATGATTTTCCCTGAGCCAGGGCCATGCTCCCCCCGGGTCTTCAGGGGAGAATCCAGTTCCTCGGCTTTTCCACCTTCTGGAGCTGCATTCCTTGCATTTCTTCAAAGCCAGCAGCATGGAATCTTGCCTCAGTGGCCACTTTCACTCCCTATCCTGTGTCCAATCTCTCTCTGCCTCTGTCTTATAAAGAGAGGGGGCATTTACAAGAGGGGGCATTTAAGGACCAGCTGGATAATCCAGGATAATCCAGATCCTCCCATCTCAAGATCCTTCATTTAGGATGAGCGCGGTGGCTCATGCCTGTAATCCCAGCACTTTGGGAGGCTGAGGTGGGCAGATCACCTGAGGTCAGGAGTTCAACACCAGCCTGGCCAACATGGTGAAACCCCATCTCTACTAAAGATACAAAAAAAATAGCCAGGCATGGTGGTGGGCACCTGTAATCCCAGCTACTCGGGAGGTTGAGACAGGAGAATCACTTGAACTTGGGAGGCGGAGGTTGCAGTGAGCTGAGATCATGCCATTGCCATCCAGCCTGGGTGACTAAAGCGAGACTCCATCTCAAAAAAAAAAAAAAAAAAAAATCCTTCATGTAATTGCATCTGCAAAGAGCTTTCCCTAGGGGAGTACTAGGAGGTAAAGCAGAAAATATATTTGATAGAGTGCCCTGAATTCCAGTCTAATAAGTTTGGACTCGATCTTTAATGGGGGTGTGGGGGGCATTAAAGGTGTCTGAGTACAGGAGTGGTCTGTTGAAATTTGTATTTTAGGACACTGAATTTAACGGTGGTGTGTCCCAGATGGGGGTAGGGAGAGTGAGGAGATGCATTTGTGGCCGCCACAATAACACTTGTGCGAGTTAGATGGGGTTGTACACATGGTTCTTCAATCAGCATTTTTCCTCTAAAAATCTTAAGCAATCATAGCTATGCAGGGAGATGTCTGGCGGTTGCATAACTCACAGCCAGCAGCCACAGAGACTGTCTCTTGTTGATCCTTCAGGGCGGAATAATGGGCATCGAGATCTACTGGGACTGCAACCTAGACCGTTGGTTCCATCACTGCCGTCCCAAATACAGTTTCCGTCGCCTTGACGACAAGACTACCAACGTGTCCTTGTACCCTGGCTACAACTTCAGGTAACTCCAAGGCCCCAGGTCAAACTCACCCAGTGGCTAAATCTCATTCCCAGCAATTGGTGAGACTAATTTTGGTTTCCAAGGCAACAAGATGAATGAAAAAAGACTTTCTCTAAGAACTAGGTGATAACTGAATTTTTTCCATAATTTTTTAAAATTCTCAAAGAGATGCACACTGTTTATTTTTTATTTAGTTATTTTTTTTTAAATGAAGTCTTGCTCTGTCACCCAGGCTGGAGTGCAATGGCGCCATCTCGGTCACTGCAAACTTCCACCTCCCAGGTTCAAGCGACTCTCCTGCATCAGCCTCCCAAGTAGCTGAGATTACAGGCGGATGCACACTCTTTATAAAACAAACTACTGGGAAACAGAAAAGCATAGAGGGGGATCAAAATCACCCATAATTCCCCTACCCTGAAATAATCAATGATAACCCTCAGGGGAATTTTCCTCATCTGCACCAATTATTTCATATAGCTCCTATGAAATCATAGCATGCATATGTATGTATGTATGTATGTATGTATAGTGGTACTCTGTGGGGTTTTTCATACCCCAGTCACTCAAAATTCTTTGTAACCATCACATTAATGATCATAACATTCCATTTTGTAGGTGAACAAATAACAAAATAACAACTGCTACAATTCAGGGAGTGTTTTCTTTTCTTTTTTTGTTTTTTGTTTTTGTTGTTTGTTTTTTTAGATGGAGTCACACTGTTTGCCCAGGCTGGAGTGCAGTAGCACGATCTCAGCTTACTGCAACCTCTGCCTCCTGGGTTCAAGCGATCCTCCCGCCTCCCAAGTATCTGGGACCACAGGCATGTGCCACCACACCCAGCTAATTTTTGTATATTCAGTAGAGGTGGGGTTTCACTATGTTGGCCAGTCTGGTCTCAAACTCTTGACCTCAAGTCATCTGCCCGCCTCGGCTTCCCAAAGTGCTAGGATTACAGGCATGAGCCACCATGCCTGGCCCAAGGAGGGTTTTCCATATACCAAGCACTCCCTGTCACCATCCCTAAAATCTCCCAACAACCCTGGAAGAAAGATATTATTGTTTCTGGAAGAAGATTTGCCCAAGACCCACAGCTGATAATACATGCTGCATAATTCTAACCCTCGTCACTCTGACCCCACACTCACACTCCATCCCTTCCTTCCCATCTCATGATTTTCTCGCCCATGCCTCCATGATTGACTATTTGAGTTGCTTCCAGTTTTTCTATTACAAATAACCACAGTGTGCATCTTTGCACATAAACTTTTGTTTGAATTCCAGGTTACTTCCTTAGGATAAATTTCTAGACTTATTAAATCAAAGGTTGTGAACATTTTACCATATGCTTTCAGATGTTTAAAAATATCTATGGTTATAATGTTTCGTTTTGTTTTGTTTCTGAGACAGAGTCTCACTCTGTCACCCAGGTTGGAGTGGACTTGGTGTGATTATAGCTCACTGCAACCTCTGCCTCCCAGGCTCAAGCGATCCTCCCACCTCAGCCTCCTGAGTAGCTAGGACTACAGGTGCACGCCACCATGCCCAGCTAATTTTTAAAATTTTTTTGTAGAGACGGAGTCTCATTATATTGCCCAGGCTGGTCTCAAACTCCTAGCTCAAGCAATCCACCTGCCTCGGCCTCCTAAAGTGTTAGGATTGTAGGTGTGAGCCACTGCGCCTGGCTTATACTTTTCATTTCTAGGATTTTTATTTGGTTCTTTTTCAAAGTCATCTATTATTGTTCCAGTGAGTCCCATTCTTACCTTAAGGATCCTACTACTTCTGTCCATTCTATTATATCATTCCTTTCATACCGATCTATTATCCAAAGTAACTTGAGTGGGAGTTCTCCTCATGGGCTTTGAAATACTGTCTTCAGTAGAAAAGATCTTATGCAAAGTTCTGCATGTGCTGTGTGTTATGGAGGTATTCCTTATATATTACTCAAAGCAGCCTCATAAACTGGCAGGCAGCCCCTTAAATGTGTTTCTGTTTCTGTTTCTGTTTTGTTTTGTTTTTTGGCCTGCATGATGTTTTAAAACTTGAGACAGGCCAGGTGCAGTGGCTCATGCCTGTAATCCCAGCACGTTGGGAGGCCAAGGTGGGAGGATCACTTAGACCCAGGAGTTTGAGGCTAGCCTGGGCAACATAGGGAGACCCCATCTCTACAAATAATAATTTTTAAAACATCAGCCAGGTGTGGGCACATGCACCTCTGGTCCCAGCTGCTCAGGAGGCTGAGGCGGGAGGATTGTTTGTACCTGGGAGGTTGAGGCTGCAGTGAGCCGTGGCTGTGCCACTGCACTCCAGCCTGGGTGACACAGTGAGACCCTGTCTCAAAAATAAATAAATAAATAAAAAATAAAACTTGAGACATTCTATGTAAAACCTTGGACTTCCTGCTTTTCTTGAAAAATGAAACTATTTGACACCCCAAGGTCCATATCTTACATGGTGGCTGCGGGCTGGAGCTGAGTATCAGTGGTCCTACTTAGAAAGAGTCTGGGCTTTCTGGTTCATCACTGTCACTGCCACTCCTTAGTGCTTATACCTGGCCCGCATCCTCGTTTCTGTCATCTGCCTGGCCCCTGTAGGCATTTGAGTTTGAAACCCTTGACGTAAAGGTGGGCTGATGCTTTTTGCTTCCTTTGGGTCAATGGAATTTCATCCAGGGCACTGAAACCAGCTCCCAGTTGAGATAACTTTTTGATCATCCCCTGCTGCTCTGCTGAATAGGCCCATGGCCATTATTAAGAAGAGAGGACAGGATGAGTGGTCCCCTGACTGCCGTTCCAGGGTATTTTTTTAGCTGTCAGCAGAAGCACGTGGGGCAGTGAACAATCAGGTGTCAGCAAATGTCCTTCCAGTGGCTGAGTTGAGCCCAAGAACATCTGCTCCTGGAGAGATCTGAGCCCTCTGAAGGCCTGAGCCAGTTACGATGTTAATATTCTTTTAGAACAAAGTGGTAGAGCATTTCTTGTCTGGAATGAGCACCAGAAGAAATCTTTGGCCAAAAATAAATTGTTGAGGGCCGGGAGCGGTGGCTTATGCCTGTAATCCCAACAATTTGGGAGGCCGAAGCTGGAGGATTACCTGAGGTCAGGAGTTTGAGACCAGCCTGGCCAACATGGCGAAACCCTGTCTCTCCTAAAAATACAAAAATTAGCTGGACATGGTGACAGGTGCCTATAATACAGCTACTTGGGAGGCTGAGGCAGGGAGAACTGCTTGAACCTGGAAGGTGGAGGTTGCAGTGAGCCGGGGTCATGCCACTTCACTCCAGCCTGGGCGACAGAGCGAGACTCTGTCTCAAAAAAAAAAAAAACTTAAATAAATAAATTAATTAATTAATTAATTGTTGAGGTCTGTTGAGTAAGTGGACAAGTTATTTTCCAGCAGACACACAAGAGAAGGAAATTATAGGTTATAGGAGGTATTTCAGAAAATATAACTTTCTAAAACATAGGAAGCTGAAGAAGTTGATCACATTACAGAATTCTGTCCCTTACAAAACGATCCATGGCGAAATGTCCTTACTTAGTGAAGAGGTGATTCCGCTCATGCACGACCTGTGTGAAGTGGATCAGGCCACATAGAACGCACGACGCGCTTCTCAGGCCCAGCAGGAGTACGTGTCTGTGTTAATTTCCTGTGGCTGCTATGACCAATTGCCACAAATGTGGCCGCTTCAAACAACAGAAATTAATCTTCTTCTAGTTCTGGAAGCCAGAAGTTTGGAATTAAGATATCAGCAGGGCCACACTTGCTCTGATGCTCTACGGGAGGGTCCATTCTTGCCTCTTTCAGCGTCTGGTGGCTCCAGGCCTTTCATAACTTTATGGCGGCATCACTCAAATCTCTGCCTCCATCCTCACAGGACCTTCTCCCCTGTGTCTCTATGTCTTTAATCTCTCCCTTTTTTTTTTTTTTTTTTTGTTTTGTTTTTTGAGACAGGGTTTCACTCTAGTCTCCTAGACTGAAGTGCAATGGCATAATTCCGGCTCACTGCAACCTCTGCCTCCTGGGCTCAAGCAGTTTGATCTCTCCTTTATCTTATAAAGATACTAGTCATTGGATTTCGGGCTTACCCTAAATCCAGGATAATCTCATCTTGAGATGTTTAACTTAATTATATCTATCTGCAAACACTGTATTTCTAAATAAGGTCATATCACAGCCACTAGGGACTAGATACTTGAACATATCTTATTTGGGGGGCTCAACCCATTCCAGTGTGCAAAAAACATTCTTCTTCAAGGCCCGATGTTTCCCAGGGCATTGCCCACTGACTACCTGCATCAGAATAATTACTTGGTACCTTTACTGGAAATACAGACTCCTAGAAACATCTCAGAGCTTCTGCAACCACTCTTTGGGGGAGGGGCTTAGGAGTCTGCCTTTGAACACACTCACTCCAAGTGATCCTATTTTTTTTTTTTTTTTTTGAGACGGAGTCTTGCTCTGTCACCCAGGCTAGAGTGTAGTGGCACGATCTTGGTTCACTGCAAGCTCCGCCTCCCAGGTTCACGCCATTCTCCTGCCTCAGCCTCCCCAGTAGCTGGGACTACAGGCGCCTACCACCACACCTGGCTAATTTTTTGTATTTTTAGTAGAGATGGGGTTTCACCATGTTAGCCAGGATGGTCTCGATCTGCTGACCTTGTGATCACCTGCCTCGGCCTCCCAAAGTGCTGGGATTACAGGCGTGAGCCACCACGTCCGGCCGTCACCTTAAGTGATTCTTGCCTTCAGTTTAACAGCCACCATAACAAGACACTGGAAGCAGAAATTCACACGCTTACTACACAATGTTAACCTTCCCAGGCAAACCAACTCACATAGGGAGATAATGCCAAGCCCAGGGCAGGCAGTGGCGACGCATGGTTGCTTGTGTATTAAAAAACAAATCACTGGCTGGGCACGTTGGCTCAGACCTATAATCCTAACACTTTGGGAGGCTGAGGTGGGTGCATCACTTGAGCTCAGGAGTTCAAGCCAGCCTGGGCAACACAGTGAGACCCTCATCTCTGTAACAATTTTTAAAAATTAGTTGGGTGTAATGGTTTGCACCTGTAGTCCCAGCTGCCCGGAGGCTGAGGTGGGAGGATGACTTGAACCCCAGAGGCGGAGGCTGCAGTGAGCTGTGTTCGAGCCACTGCACTCCAGCCTGGGTGACAGAGCCAGATCCTGTCTCAATAAACAAAAACAAACAACAACAAGAACAACAACAAAGATAAATCACTCAATATAGCATCAGGAGAAAAAGCTCTCTTGAAATAGTCACATGCAAAGAAATTAATTCCCTCCAGTCAGAAAGAGGCACTAAAGTGCCTGAGAATATCTGATCGATTTCAATGTCAGGTTTTGAGAGGTTTTTTAAAAACAGTTTCAGATGTTTCTTACTATTTTTTGGCAGAACATCTGCCATCTGCTTTCTTCTCTCCCCTCATCTTGTAACTAGATGGTGAATTAATAACTCAGAAAAAACGTATATCTATATGTAACCTTATCTAAAAGCAATCATCAAAATGTGGTGAGAAGAAGGGGCAGATTTAAAAGTTTTATGAAGCATTTGTTTTAAGCCTCCTTAGTCATTCTTGAAAAACAAAACACACCACTTTTCCTGACCGCAGCACTGGGGAGGGTTGCGTATTATGGGTGACTGATGAGTTGTGCCTGGGGCTTATTTTTTAAAGTTAGCACTGGGTGATGACAGAGAAAGGTCAATGCCACTGAAAGAATAACTTTTTTTTTTTTTTTTTTTGAGATGGGGTCTCACTCTGTCACCCAGGCCGGAGTGCAGTGGCGTGATCTTGGCTCACTGCAACCTCTGCCTCCTGGGTTCAAGTGATACTCCTGCCTCAGCTTCCCGAGTAGCTGGGATTACAGATGTCTGCCACCACACCCAGCTAATTTTTGTATTTTTAGTAGAGACAGGGTTTCACCATGTTGGCCAGGCTGGTCTCAAAGTCCTGACCTGAGGTGATCTGCCTACCTTGGCCTCCCAAAGTGCTGGGATTACAGACGTGAGCCATTGCACCTGGCCAAGAAGAATTTATTACATACTATTCCCAAGAGATAGGGCCACACCACACTATGCCAGGCCACACCAGGCCATGCCACACTAGACAGGGCCACAGGAGGAAGTACCAGATTCAGTCAAGAGGCAGAATAAAGGGGAAAGAATGGTCCAGAGCTTTATTGTGTTTCCCAATGGAAGGGCAAGGCAGGACTGGGGAAACAGCTTAGGGTGAACTACTTTGAATAATGCCAGTGGGTTCTGAGTTACAGGAATGGTCTCTAAATGTCTGGCCCTCACCCTACCTGTCCCTAAGGAGAAATACTGGAGAGTTAGAAAAGGAAGTGGTTGAGGGATTGGTTGGAGGGTTTGTAATATGATTTTCACACCCTCACAAAAGCTGGATTGCAGGGGAGATGTAAACAACTTCAGCCTTGGGAGGCCAAGATGAAAGGATGGCTTGAAGCCAGGAGTTCAAGGCTGCAACAAGCTATGAGCACAACGCTGCACTCCAGCCTGGTTGAAAGAATGAGATCCTGACTCTACAAAACATTTTTGAAAAATTTTTTTTTCTTTTTTCTTTCTTTTTTTTGAAACAGTCTTGTTCTGTCACCCAGGCTGAAGTGCAGTGGTACGATCCTGGCTCACTGCAACCTCCGTCTCCTGGGTTCAAGTGATTCTTGTGCCTCAGCATCCTGAGTAGCTGGGATTACAGGCATGTGCCACCATGCCTGGCTAATTTTTGTATTTTTAGTAGAGATGGGGTTTCACCATGATGTCCAGGCTGGTCTTGAACTCCTGACCTCAAGTGATCCACCCGCCTTGGCCTCCCAAAGTGCTGGGATTACAGATGTAAGCCACCTTGCCCAGTTGAAAATTTTAAAAATAAAAATTAGCCACGTATGGTGGTGCACGCTTGTAGTCCCACCCAGCCACTTGGGAGGCTGAAGTGGGAGTATCACTTGGGCCCAGGAGGTGGAGGCTGCAGTGAGCTCTGATCATCTGATCATGCCAGTGCTCTCCAACCTGGGTGACAGAACAAGACCCCACCTCAAAACAAACAAACAAAACAAAAAACACAACTTCAGCCTTTAGTTTGGCCCTGAGACTAATGATTGCCAAATAGACATATACAGAATCTAAGAAAATACAGTTTGCTGAGGTGTGCCTGTCCCCAGTCCAGTAATTAGTATCTAAGATTTACCACCATCCACTCCTGCTTTGTTCTAGATGCCAAACCTCTTCTTCCCCCTTAAGGAATAGTCATATTGCTTGAAGTTATTTTTTTTTAATTTATCTGCTTGTTGTTAATCCTGTATTGTTTTAAGATGTGCATTTTAATCTTAAGCGACAAGCTGATTTTCCGTCACTCTGAGATGATGCAAGTACAGGCGGTGACGCGGGGAGGGGGATGCTCTTTGGTTCCAGGTGGTTGGAGAGAGTCACCCAGGGCTTTGGATTGTGTTCCTTCCCCTGCCACCTGTCACAGAGCCAGGGGACAGACCAGGAGGACTAGATGGGCCACTGTTTTGGCTTTTCCTTCCATAAAATACCAGCATTTTTTGCCAGATGCAGTGGCTTATGCCTGTAACCCCAGCACTTTGGGAACCTGAGGCAGGCAAATCACTTGAGCTCAGGAGTTCGAGACCAGCCTGGGCAACACGGCAAAAGCCCATCTCTACAAAAAATACAAAAAATTAGCCGAGCATGGTGGTGCATGCCTGTAGTCCCACCTGCCTGGGAGACTGAGGTGGGAGAATCTCCTGAGCCTAGGAAGTCAAGGCTGCAGTGAGCGGTAATCCCGGTGCTGCACTCCAGCCTGGGCAACAGAGTGAGACCCTGTCTCAAAAAAAACCCCAAAAGCCCAACACCTTCAAAGAGATCTTATAAATACAGATCCTTTTCTTCCTACAGATATGCCAAGTACTACAAGGAAAACAATGTTGAGAAACGGACTCTGATAAAAGTCTTTGGGATCCGTTTTGACATCCTGGTTTTTGGCACCGTAAGTCTCCTTTCCCAGCTCCGGGCACCGGCATCCTATGACTGTGTCCTAATTACTGCTGTGGGGCCTCCATGGAGGAAAGGGTTTTGGTCACAGCCATTAGCTAGCACTGGGCATTTCGCACATGGCATAAAAGAGGAAGAAGATGTCCTCGGGGTGCTGTCCCTGAATGAGTCATCTGACGAGTACAGGAGTGGGCCTGGAAAGCAATTCTAACATTCGGCTTTAAAAATACTCTGACACTTAACAAGAGGGAGAAAGAAATCTCCTGTAAAATAATTTGTAAGTAACAGAATCCAATTCAAATTGGCTTAAGGGGAAAAAAAAATGTTTTCAGTGGGCTTTTTTGGGTTCACATAACTGAAAAAATTCCAGGGGTTATTTTTAAGCTACAAGCATGGTTGGATCCAGGTGTTAAAACAACAACATCATCATCAAGAACTTGCCACCCTCTGTGTCTTATATACATCCTGCTCGGTCTTGGCATCATCCCCAGACCAGCCATTTCTCTATGAAGGTATCAAGCAGCACCTTCGATCTGACCGGTTTAGCAACCTCAGTGAAAAGAAAATGCCTCTTTGCCAGAAGGTTCAGCAAAGGTCTCAGACAAATGTCATCGGCTCTGATTGGCCCACTATGGATGACATGCCCACCGCTGAACTAATCACTGTGACCAGGGTCATGCCATACTCCCAATGGTTGGTCTCGAACCAACCCTAACCCAGCTCAGGGGCCAGCGGAGAGGCCAACACCCCAGCCCCTTACACACACACACACACACACACACACACACACACAACATGGACTGAAAAGAAAATTGGAGTGTTGCCCTCTGAAGACAGAAGGAAAAGATGCCAGGTATGCAAAAATCAACATATCCCACGACATGGTGTCCAAGAGCATGTTATCTATGTAAGATGGTGATAAGCAGGACGAGAAGCAATGAGATATAGCTGAAAGAATGCAGAGACCACCGGGAATAAAAACCACAAGGCTGGGCCGGGCACAGTGGCTCACGCCTGTAATCCAAGCTCTTTGGAAGGCTGAGGCAGGTGGATCACGAGATCAGGAGTTCAAGACCAGCCTGGCCAACATGGTGAAACCCTGTCTCTACTAAAAATGCAAAAATTAGGTGGGTGTGGTAGCGGGTGCCTGTCATCCCAGCTACTTGGGAGGCTGAGGCAGGAGAATCACTTGAACCCAGGAGGTGGAGCTTGCAGTGAGCTGAGATCACGCCACTGCACTCCAGCCAGGGAGACAGACGAGGCCACCCAGACATTCCTTCCCTCTGCTTCTGAAGTAATGTCAAACCTTTTGGAGAAGAAGCTTGTCTGAAATCCTCACCTTGTATGAAGAAATGACAGCCCTTCGGTGGGTCTCTCCTTAATGTGTGGGCCCCAGTGCTTGTTCATGTAAAACCTTTATGGGTCTAAGCATACCCTGCATGGCTGAAGCAGGATGCCTGGGAGTCAGTTTCAGTCTGCGTAGTCTCTGCCTCGGCCAGCACTTGAATGCATCTATCCAAGTCACAGTAGGAGGCTCCGCTCCCTGATAGAACCAAGCATTGCACGCTGAAGCAAAAGAGCGCTGCTCTGAATTTCACCTGAGTAAACTCTCCCACTCTGTTTTTAGGGAGGAAAATTTGACATTATCCAGCTGGTTGTGTACATCGGCTCAACCCTCTCCTACTTCGGTCTGGTAAGAGATTCTCTTTTCCACGCATTAGGAAAATGGTTTGGAGAAGGAAGTTACTAACGTGGCGTTTGTCTGCGTTTTCCACAGGCCACTGTGTTCATTGACTTCCTCATCAACACTTACTCCAGTAACTACTGTCGCTCCCATATTTATCCCTGGTGCAAGTGCTGTCAGCCCTGTGTGGTCAACGAATACTACTACAGGAAGAAGTGCGAGTCCATTGTGGAGCCAAAGCCGGTGAGGCCGCTGTGTTCACAGGACACCAAGACACGGAGAGATTCCGTGAAATCACTGAGCAATGAACGAAAGTTAGGCCCAAATCACAGGCTTCATCCTGTAGTGGATACGTCTCTGGGCTCTACCCCGATCAACCAACTCTCAGATAAATTCTTGGGTCTTAGAGAAGAATAGAAACAAAAACTGGAGGGGCAAGATAAAGGGAAGGCAATTTTTTACATCCAGGACTTGCCAATTTTGTCATTTATTTATTTATTTATTTTCAGACGGAGTCTTGCTCTATCACCCAGGCTGGAGTGCCTCCCAGGTTTAAGTGATTCTCCTGCCTCAACCTCCCAAGTAGCTGGGACCACAAGTAAACACCACCACACACAGCTACTTTTTATATTTTTAGTAGAGACAGTGTTTAGCTATGTTGGCCAGGCTGGTCTCAAACTCCTGACTTCAAATGATCCACCCACTCTGCCAGCCACAGTGCTGAGATTACAAGTGTAAGCCACTGAGCCCAGTCTGTTTTGTCATTTATTAAATTGGTATAGCCAAAAAAAAGAGAAAAGAATAACAACTTTAGAGAACAATTTGGCAGTGACTAATGTTTAAATGGGACATACTTTACAGCCTGGCATTTTCAGTTCTCCATACCTGCCCTAGAAAAATACTCACATGAGTACCCAAGCAATACACGAGTGCAAGATGTTCAAAGCAGGATTGTTTATTAAATTATCAATCATATATGATTATTAACAGTGAAGAAATAGCATCTAACCAAATATCCAACAGGTGAATGGTGAAAGAAACTATGGTAAATTCATAGAAAGGAATACCAGGCACCAGTTAAAAAAAATGAGATAGATAATAATAATGGCAAACACTTACACAGCACTTCTAAATGCTTTATACATTAACTCACTGAATCTTCACAACAACCTGATGTAGACAGATGCTACTATTATCTCTTTCTGTGGATGAGGAAATTGAGCTACAGGAAGGTTAAATAATTGGCCCAAGGCTGGGCACAGTGGCTCATGCTTGTAATCCCAACACTTTGGGAGGCTGAGGCAGGCAGATCACTTGAGGTCAAGAGTTGGAGACCAGCCTCGCCAACATGGTGAAACCCCATCTCTACTAAAAATACAAAAATTAGCCAGGCGTGGTGGTGCACGCCTGAAGTCTCAGCTGCTTGGGAGGCTGAGGCAGGAGAATTGCTTGAACCTGGTTGGCAGAGGTTGCAGTGAGCCAAGATTATACCATTGCATTCCAGCCTGGGTGACAGAGGAAAACTCTGTCTCAAAAAAAAAAAAAAAAAAATTATAGGGCTTGACAAGAGCAGATCTCCAAGACATTTTTTAAAAGAAAAAAAAAATCACTTGGACTCGGGAAGGGGAACATCACACACCAGGGCCTATCATGGGGAGGGGGGAGAGGGGAGGGATTGCATTGGGAGTTACACCTGATGTAAATGACGAGTTGATGGGTGCTGACGAGTTGATGGGTGCAGCACAGTAACATGGCACAAGTATACATATGTAACAAACCTGCACGTTATGCACATGTACCCTAGAACTTAAAGTATAATAAGAAATAAATTTAAAAAAAAAGAAAAAAAAGAAAACTGTAGAGCAATATATATTATATGATATATAGGATAAAAAACCACTAGACACAGAAGCTAATCTATATATTTTCTGCATGTATATTCTATATATACAGAAGTGTACACACACACACACATACATATGTGTGGTTGTATATATGTACACAAAATTATACCAGTGGCTGCTTCTGGAAAGGAGCTTAGGTGGGGGAGTAGTCAAAGAGATTTCAGCGTCACCTGTATTGTTTTGATTTGATTAATCCATTGGACTTTATTAAGCAGGTCCTCTGCATTCAACTCCATGATTTTCCCCAAAGAGAAATCTCTGGTACCTAAAAACAAAGGTGATTCGCTGGACGCGGTGGCTCACGCCTGTAATCCCAGCACTTTGGGAGGCCAAGGTGGGCGGATCACCTGAGGTCAGGAGTTCAAAACCAGCCTGGCCAACATGGAGAAACCCCGTCTCTACTAAAAATACAAAAAAGTAGTGGGGTGTGGTGGCGCATGCCTGTAATCCCAGCTTCTCCAGAGGCTGAGGCAGGAGAATCACTTGAACCCAGGAGGTGGAGGTTGCAGTGAGTTAGGATCGCGCCATTGCACTCCAGCCTGGGCAACAAGAGCCAGCAACATGATTGTCCTGTTCCAGTAGCTGAATGCACAATTCACTGTCCATTGTATATGCATTCACAATTTGAAATAAAAGTTCATCTTTACAGCTAAAACTAATCACTACTTAATGGCCCAAGATGAGATGAAATTTAACAAACATATAAATAATTTAAGTTGCAATAGTACAACTTTCTGGAGATACTGAATCTAGAGTTACTGAAATTGAGATAATACCACAAAGAAATTGTACGCAGCAATTGGGGGATCCAATGTAAAAACATTAAGCAGTAAGCTGTGGCTATGTTGAATTTACAAATTAAGATGCATGGGGTTCTGCCCAGCATGGTGGCTCATGCCTGTAATTCCAGCACTTTGGGAGGCCAAAGTGGGAGGGGATCACCTGAGGTCGGGAGTTCAAGACCAGCCTGCCCAACATGGAGAAACCCCATCTCTACTAAAAATACAAAATTAACTGGGTGTGGAGGTGCATGCCTGTAATCCCAGCTACTCAGGAGGCTGAGGCAGCATAATCACTTGAACCTGGGAGGCGGAGGTTGCAGTGAGCCAAGATCGCGCCACTGCACTCCAGCCTGGGCAACAAGAGCAAACTCTGTCTCAAAAAAAGAAAAAAAAAAGCATGGGGTTCCATTTCTGATTTACCTTTAGACTCAGAAATCATTTATTCTTGGTCAATGAGAGTTTTGAACCAGTTTGTTCAATAGTCTATCATTTGGCAAATAGGAATTACAATCGCCTTTAGATAGGGAATTCTTGATAATTCTGTACAAAAATGGGTAAACTTTTAAACCGTCTTTTCCTAGACATTAAAGTATGTGTCCTTTGTGGATGAATCCCACATTAGGATGGTGAACCAGAAGCTACTAGGGAGAAGTCTGCAACATGTCAAGGGCCAAGAAGTCCCAGTAAGTTAAATCATTTTGTCTTTATTTTTTAAAGAAAATTTACTATTAAATATAAACCCATCTAGAAACTTGTACAAATCAAAACTGATGGATTTGAACAAAGTAAACATGCTCATGTAACCAGCACTCAGATTAAACAACTGAAAATTACTAGCAGGAGTCCCTTTTATGCCCTGCTCCAATCACTACCCTTTCTGTTTTTTTTAATTTTTAAAATTTGGCTGGGCATGGTGGCTCACACCTGCAATCCCAGCACTTTGGGAGGCCAAGGCAGGTGGATCACTTGAGGTCAGGAGTTCAAGACCAACCTGGCCAACATGGTGAAACCCTGTCTCTACTAAAAATACAAAAATCAGCCAGGTGGTGTGGTGGCATACATGTAATCTCAGCTACTCAGGAGGCTGAGGCAGGAGAATCGCTTGAACCCAGGAGGTGGAGGTTGCAGTGAGCCGAGATTGTGCCACTGCACTCCAGCCTGGGTGACAGAGCAAGACTCCATCTCAAAAAAAAAAGAGAAAAAAATGTATATTTTTAAATTACAAATGAGGTGTCACTACGTTGCCCAGGATGGTCTCAAGCAATCCTCCCGCCTCGGCTCTACCAAGTCCACCCAACTGCCCTCTCTTAAAAGTAGTCATTATCCTGTATCCAAAGATTAATTTTACTTTCTGCTAGAATTTTCTAAAAGTTGAATCATGTAGTGTGTAAGTGGTACATACTCGGTTGAGTGTCTGGCTTCCTTTACTTAACATTATTTTTGCAAGAGTCATTCATGACGCTGTGTATAGTTCATTCCCATTGTATAATTCCGTTTTATAAGCATCCAACTTACTCAGTCATCCTACTGTTGATGGACATTTGGGTAGTGTCCAGTTTGGGGCTAATGCCAATAATGCTGCTATGCTCAACATACGGTACTCTACTGGGCAGTTACCTAAGAGTGGAATTGCTGAGTCATAAGGCAGACATATATTCAGTTTTAGGAGATACTAACAAACAGTGCTACAAAATGGTTGTTCTTATTCGCACTCTCCCCAACAGTTCTGGCTGCTGGGCATCTTCAATTTCCTAGGGCTGAATTACCATACACTAAGCGGCTTAAAGAACAGAAATGGCTGGTGGCTCACGCCTGTAATCCCAGCACTTTGGGAGGCCGAGGTGGGCAGATCACCTGAGGTCGGGAGTTTGAGACCAGCCTGACCAACATGGAGAAACCCCATCTCTACTAAAAATACCAAAATTAGCCAGGCATGGTAGCACATGCCTGTAATCCCAGCTGCTCGGGAGGCTGAGGCAGGAAAATTGCTTGAACCTGGGAGGCAGATGTTGTGGTGAGCTGAGATCGCACCATTGCACTCCAGCCTAGGCAACAAGAGCAAAACTCCATCTCAAAAACAACAACAACAACAACAGAAACATATTCTGTCACAGTTCTGGAGCCTAGAAGTCTGAAATTAAGGTGTTGGTAGGGCCCCTCTCTATCTGAAGTCTCTAGGGAGGAATCTTTCCTTGCCTCTTCCTGGCATCTAATGTTTTATGACATTGACCAGGACCTCCAGTACAATACTGAACAGAAATGGTAATAGCAGCCATCTCTGCCTCATTCCCTATCTTAGGGAGAAAGGCTTTTATACTTCACTATTCATTATACTATTTGCAGTAAGTTTTTGTTTGTTTGTTTGTTTGTTTTGAGATGCAGTCTCACTCTGACGCCCAGGCTAGAGTGCAGTAGTGCGATCTTGGCTCACCACGACCTCTGCCTCCTGGGTTCAAGCAATCCTGCTGCCTCAGCCTCCCAAGTAGCTGAGATTACAGGTGTGCACTACCATGCCTGGCTAATTTTTGTGTTTTCAGTAGAGACAGAGTTTTGCCATGTTGGCCAGGCTGGTCTCCAACTCCTGACCACAGGTGACCCGCCCACCTCAGCCTCCCAAAGTGCTGGGATTACAGGAGTGAGCCACTGCATCCAGCCTGCAGTATGTTTTTAAGAATGTGCTATTAGGTCAGAAAATTCCCTTCTGTTTCTAGTTTGCTAAGCACTTTTACCATTAATGGATATTGATTTCTGAAATAATGTCTTATTTGTTTTCTTGCCGGGTACAGTGGCTCATGCCTGCAATCCCAACACTTTGAGAGGCCAAGGTGGGCAGATCACCTGAGGTCATAAGCTCGAGAACAGCCTGGCCAACATGGCGAAACCCTGTCTCTTTTAAAAGTACAAAAATTAGCCGGGCATGGTGGTGCACACCTGTAATCCCAGCTACTCAGGACTGAGGTGGGAGAATTGATTGAACCTGGGAGGTGGAGGCTGCAGTTAGCTGAGATCATGCCACTGCACTCTAGCCTGGGCAACAGAACAAGACTCCATCTCAAAAAAAAAAAAAAAGTTTTTCTGCTCCTTTTGAAATACCAATGAGTTTTCTTCTTTTTTTCTGTTAGGTGGTGAATTGTACTGATTGATTTTCAAATATTAAGCCAACCTTGCATTCCTGAAGTAAACTCAATTTGAATGTGTTGTACTATTCTTTGTATTTATTGCTGAATTCCATTCACTAATATTTAGGATTTTTACATCTATTCTTGAGAAAGACTGACCAAAGTGTTTCCATTCTAATGTTCTTATTGGATTTGTGTATGAAGTGAACTACAGTCATGTGTCAGTTAATGATGGGGATATGTTCTGAAAAATGCATCAGTAGCTGATTCTGTGGTTGTCTGAATATCATAGACTCTATTTACACAAACCTAAATGGAATAGCCTATTATACACTTAGGTTACATGGTGTAGTCTACTGCTCCTAGGCTGCAAACCTGTACAGCATGTTACTGTACTGAATACTGTAAGCAACTATAACAGAATGGTAAGATTTGTATATCTAAATATAGAAAAGGTACAGTGAAAATATGATATATAAAGCTAAAAAATGGTACATCTGCATAGGGCACTTACCATGAATGAAGCTTGCAAGACTGAAAGTTGCTCTGGGTGAGTCGGTCAGTGAGTGAGTGGTGAGTGAATGTGAAAGCCTAGGTTGTTACTGTGCACTACAGTAGACTTCATAAACACTGTATGCTTAGGCTACACTAAATTTATTTCAAAATATTTCTCTTTCTTCAATAAATCAATCTTAGCTTACTGTGACTTTTTTACTTTATAAATTTTTAAATTTTTTAAACTTTGTGCCGTGGTATAAAAATATTTTCTTTCTCAGCGGGTGTGGTAGCTCGCGCTTACAATCCCAGCACTTTGGGAGGTCGAGGTGGGTGGATCACACGGTCAGGAGATCGAGACCATCCTGGCCAACATGGTGAAACCCCGTCTCTACTAAAAATACAAAAAAATAGCCAGGTGTGGTGGTAGGCACCTGTTGTCCTAGCTACTTGGGAGGCTGAGGTAGGAGAATGGCATGAACCCGGGAGGCAGAGCTTGCAGTGAGCCAAGATCGTGCCACTGCACTCCAGCCTGGGTGACAGAGCAAGACTCCATCTCAAAATAATAATAATAATTCTTTCTCTATATCTTTATTCTATATACTGTTTTCTATTTTTAACATTTTTTATTTTTATTTTTACTTTTTAAACATTTTTGTTAAAAACCAAGTCACGGCTGGGTGTGGTGGCTCACACTTATAATCCCAGCACTTTGGGAGGCTGAGGTGGGTGGATCACTCGAGGTCAGGAGTTCAACACCAGCCTGGCCAATATGGTGAAACTGTCTCTACTAAAAATATAAAAATTAGCTGGGTGTGGTGGTGCATGCCTGTAGTCCCAGCTACTCAGGAGGCTGAGGCAGAAGAATCGCTTGAACCCGGGAGGTGGAGGTTGCAGTGAGCCGAGATCATGCCACTGCACTCCAGCCTGGGAGACAGAGCAAGACTCTGTCTCAAAAAAAAAAAAAAAAAAAAATTTCCGATAGTGCTAAGTCCTGGGAAGAATGTGGAACACCACAGTGTGATAAGGGAATCATGTGGGAGAAAAGCTGCTAGATAGGGTAGTCAGGACAGGAGGTGACATCTCAACAGAGACCTGGCTTTTCTGAATTTCATTTTCCAAAATCTGTAAAATAGGCCAGGTGCAGTGGCTCATGCCTGTAATCCCAGCACTTTGGGAGGCTGAGGCGGGCAAATCACCTGAGGTCAGGAGTTCCAAACCAGCCTGGCCAATATGTTGAAATACCGTTTCTACTAGAAATACAAAAGAATTAGCTGGGCATGGTGGCGTACACTTGTAATCCAAGCTACTTAAGAGGCTAAGGCATGAAAATTGCCTGAACCTGGGAGGTGGAGGTTAGAGTGAGCTGACAGGTCACACGACTATGCTCCAGCCTAAGCAAGAGTGAGACCCTCTTTAAAAAAAAAAAAAAAAAAATCTGTAAAATAGAGACAAGGATACATTACCTCACAAGCATCTTCAAAGGCTTGAATGCGGCAATGCTTACAGAACACATGCATGGTCCTGATATCTACACCTAATAAATGACGGCTACTATAACTCATGTAATATTAAATGTAACTTTATAAGTTAATAAAATTAAAGAACCTAGAACCTGAGGGCTTGTCATTGCTAATAGGTTTGGAAACTTGCTTTTTCAGAGACCTGCAATGGACTTCACAGATTTGTCCAAGCTGCCCCTGGCCCTCCATGACCCACCCCCGATTCCTGGACAACCAGGGGAGATGCAGCCGCTTAGAGAGGAGGCGACTCCTAGATCCAGGGACAGCCCCGTCTGGTGCCAGTGTGGAAGCTGCCTTCCGTCCCAACTCCCCAAGAGCCACAGGTGCCTGGAGGAGCTGTGCTGCCGGAAAAAGCCAGGGGCCTGCATCACCACCTCAGAGCTGTTCAGGAAGCTGGTCCTGTCCAGACACGTCCTGCAGTTCCTCCTGCTCTACCAGGAGCCCTTGCTGGCGCTGGATGTGGATTCCACCAACAGCCGGCTGCGGCACTGTGCCTACAGGTGCTACGCCACCTGGCGCTTCGGCTCCCAGGACATGGCTGACTTTGCCATCCTGCCCAGCTGCTGCCGCTGGAGGATCCGAAAAGAGTTTCCCAAGAGTGAAGGGCAGTACAGTGGCTTCAAGAGTCCTTACTGAAGCCAGGCACCATGGCTCACGTCTGTAATCCCAGCCCTTTGGGAGGCCGAGGCAGCCAGATCACCCGAGGTTGGGAGTTGGAGACCAGCCTGGCTAACAAGGCAAAATCCCGTTTGTACTAAAAATACAAAAATCAGCCAGACATGGTGGTGTGCACCTGTAATCCCAGCTACTCGGGAGGCTGAGGCACGAGAATCACTTGAACCTGGGACGCGGAGGTTGTAGTGAGCCGAGATTGTGCCACTGCACTCCAGCCTGGGAGGCACAGCAAACTGTCTCAAAAAAAAAAAAAAAAAAAAAGAGTCCTTACCGATAGCAGGGGCTGCAGTAGCCATATTAACATGACCTTTACTAGCAACTTGAACTTCACCTGCAAAGCTCTGTGGCAACAGTTTTAGCCAAAGGGAAATGTGCTTTCATCTTCTATAGCTCTCTGTGTCTGACAGCAAAGTGACCTGGTTAAACAAACCAGAATCCCTCTGCATGGACTGAGAGCAAACAGATTGAGATGTCAGTTTCAACTCTGTCCCTAGGAAGTTGTGTGACCCTAGGCCTCTCACCTCTGTGCCTCTGTCTCCTCGTTGCCCAACTACTATCTCAGAGATATTGTGAAGACAGATTGCACATGAACTGTCTCATTAATGTTTAAAGATCTACGTGAATGCAAAACATTTCATTATGAGGTCAGACTAGGATAATGTCCAACTAAAAACAAACCCTTTTCGTCCTGGTTGAAGAATGTGGAGGACTAAAGGTGGCCACAGATTCTTTGACACTCAAGTCCCCCAAGACCTAAGGGTTTTATCTCCTCCCCTTGAGAATGGGTGGCTCTGATTGTTTTATCCAAAAGTGGAAGTGACATTGTGTCAGTTTCAGATCCTGGTCTTAAGAGGCTGACAGCTTCTACTTCCTGTCCCTTGGAACTCTTGCTATCGGGGAAGCCAGACTCCATTTAAAAGTCTGCCTATCCTGGCCAGGTGTGGTGGCTCACACCTGTAATCCCAGCACTTTGGGAGACCAAGGCGGGTGGATCACTTAAAGTCAGGAGTCCGAGACCAGACTCGCCAACATGGTGAAACCATATCTCTAATAAAAATACAAAAATTATCTGGGCATGGTAGCGGGTACCTGTAGTCTTAGCTATCAGGAGGCTGAGACAGGAGAAACACTTGAACCTGGGAGGTAGAGGTTGTATTGAGCTGAGATCGTGCCACTGCACTCCAGGTTGGGTGACAGAGTGAGACTCCATCTCAAAAAAAAAAAAGTCTGCCTATCCTGAGACCACCCTGCTGTGAGGAAGCCCAAGCAGCCATGTGGACAGTGCCTGACCAGCCCCAGCTTTCAAGCCATCCAAGTCCAGTCACCAAACATGAGAGAGAAGAAGCCTTCAGGTGATTCTGGACTCTACTAACGTATGACTGATACCACTTGATACATTCCAAGTGAGAACTGCCCCATAAATCCAGAAAACCAAATTGTTATCTTAAGTCACTAAGTTTTGGGCTTGTCTGTTCCACAGCAACAGATAACTGGAACAGAGAGCAAGCCTGACGAATGGGCACACAGACTCAGCCCATACCTTCCCTGGTTCTAATGTTCTTAGGGAGCCCAGACTAACCCTGGAACTCTCAGGAACTTAGGTTTCCACTGGACAGTTCTAGAAGGGCTATGGACCAAATCAGGTAACTCACCAGACCAGCCTTGGAATCTATCAAATCTAACTGCTGAGCTACACAATGCATTCCAATCCTCATCACAATTCTGTGACTGAAGGCCGGGTGCAGTGGCTCAAGCCTGTAATCCCAGCAGTTTGGGAGGCCGAGGCGGGTGGATCACCTGAAGTCAGGAGTTCGAGACCAGCCTGGCCAACATGGTGAAACCCTGTCTCTACTAAGAATACAAAAATTAGATGGGCGTGGTGGTGGGCGCCTGTAATCCCAGCTACTTGGGAGGCTGAGTGAGGAGAATCTCTTGAACCTGGAAGGTGGAGGTTGCAATGAACCAAGATAGTGCCACTGCACTCCAGCCTGGACGACAGAGCAAGACTCTGTCTCGAAAACAAAAAACAAAACAAAACAATTCCATGACTGAAAGTGACTAAAAAGCTGCCTTTGTGCCATTAACACCCTGCACTTTGCAGCCAATCAGAACTGACGCAGTCTGGGTGCTAGCTACTTCAACCCACACCTTTACCATTTCCACACATCAACTGCCGAGAATATGAAAATGCGTGACAGGTTTTAGGATCCTGCTTCAGAATTTCCTTTTCCTGGTTTGGTCACTAGAGTTGGCTATTTATCTGTTTCTAAACAACTGCCATTTTATCAAATAGTTTAGAGACCACTATTAAATATTGTGACTGATGAAAGATCTGTGAATTTTTTTATACATACTCTAAGAGTTACCATGTTGATACCTTTTAAAAACCAGCAGCTTTCTACTATATTCATGTAAGACAGCATGAATAAAAATGTTTTTTGATACAGGGTTTTATCTGGCTTTAAACTCAGGAACCAAGTTAATTATGCCAGATTGAACTTTGATTTTTACTACCTTTTCAAAGACATTTTAAAAAGTGGATAATTATACGTATATAATATGCATAATATTTCTTTGGAGCTGACATTTCTTTACTCCACGAATTCTATGTTACTGTTACATCTTTCCGTTCTGATGGCCTCTGGGCCTTTGTACCTTTGTCTTTGGTGCCTTATTCCTAGTATGTTTCTATCACCTTAATGAGGCCGCAGACGGAGTCAGAATGTGAAATTACAAATAATCACTGGATCCATCTACTGTTTTCCATCACCTTCCCCACTGATGCTCTGGGTAAGACAGTGATGTGTCACTTCAACTGTGTGTAATATGTCAGACACGTCCTATAATAACAGGCGTCATATTTGTATTCTTATTTTTAGTTTACTGTAGAAAATAATGGCATCACCAAAGGTGATGAGAGTTTTTGTAGGATCTGTTTTCTTATACTTAAAGACAGTCTTCTGTTATGGTAATTGCCAGTATTCATGGCTTCCTCTCTGCGTCAGAAGAGAAGGGATCTGCTTTCTCTTGGCTGATTTCACATAGTATTGGTAATAGACTTGCATTTCTCTTTCTAAAGGGGAATAACTTTTTAAACCCTTCCTGATTTTAGCCTGGCAATGTAAGTGTCCTTAATGTGACTGTTTTGATAATTAAAAAAAAAAAAATGTATAATTTGTTCATTTAAATCTTTCCTTTCTTTTCAGAAGGTCCCCAAATCACAGTTAACTCATTCATGGACGCATTCATTCAACAACTATTCAATGAGGCACTCTCTAGAGACTAAGGATAAATAAGGTTGCCAGTTTCATGGAGATATGAGGAGATGGAAATTAATCAAATAATTCAAGCAAATGGAATCTTGCAACTTGTGCTGAGTATCATGGTGAAGAGGCAAATGATGGCATGAGAGCTTATAGTAGGGGAATTTGGCCTATTTGGGAAGATCAGCCTACCTGAGGAAGGAATGTTTTAGCTAAAATCTGAAGGATGAGTACTACTTTACTAGTGAGTGGGGGAGGAAAGAGCATTCTAGCAGAGAGAACAGTATGTGCAAAGGTCCTGGGGCAGGAAAAGCAGAGCAGGTTTTTAGAACTTAAAGGAGACCTATATGACTGTGCCATAAACAGTACAGGGAAGTAAGGCATGAGTCACAGTTGGACAAGCAGGCAGGGGCTAGCAGCCTGTGGGCCATGGTAGAGTTTGTCTTTATCCTAAGACTTAAGCCAGGTAAGGGTTCTAATCAGGAGCCTGTTAAGATCACATTTAATTTTTATTTTTATTTATTTATTTTTATTTTATTTTATTTTATTTTATTTTATTTTATTTTATTTTTTGAGATGGAGTCTTGCTCTGTTGCCCAGGCTGGAGTGCAGTGGCTCAACCTTAGCTCACTGCAACCTCTGCCTCCTGGGTTCAAGTGATTCTCCTGCCTCAGCCTCTTGAGTGTCTGGGATTACAGGCGCCTGCCACCACGCCCAGCTAATTTTTGTATTTTTAATAGAGATGGGGTTTCACCATGTTGGCCAGGCTGGTCTCGAATGCCTAACCTCGAGTGATCTGCTGGCCTCAGCCTCCCACAGTGCTAGGATTACAAGCATGAGCCACCATACCCAGCCTTATTTTTTATTCTATTCTATTCTGTTGTATTCTATTCTATTTTGAGATGGAGTTTCACTCTTGTTTCCCAGGCTGGAGTGCAATGGCACTATCTCAGCTCACTGCAACCTCTACTTCCTGGGTTCAATCAATTCTCCTGCCTCAGCCTCCTGAGTAGCCAGGATTATAGGCACCTGCCATCATGCCCGGCTAATTTTTATATTAAGCCCCCTCATTACCCATGGGGTGGGAACTGGGAATCCCCCCTCCACCACTGAGGTAAGAGGAGGATTATTAAAACATCCCTAATTCAGCCGGGCGCGGTGGCTCACGCTATCAATCACCGCATTTTGGGAGGCTGAGGCGGGTGGATCACCTGATC